AGCAGAGCCCTGCAACTCCCAGCCATGGTGCCTTTGGGAATAACAGAGCCAAGCAGGAATGGCCCCATCTGCTTCTTGTGGCTGATTCGGTAGCGTGTATGTGGCACCGGTGGTGGGAGGCAGCGCTGGCTGATGGTGGCGTGACGGTTGTGGCAGCTGCCAGGAGTTCAGTGCTGCTTGAAGCAGCTCCCCATGCACCCAGCTGTACCCAGCCCACCAGCTCCCTGTCACCTGGCCCACCTGGAATTAGCTGGTGCCACTCATGCAGTAAATGCCACAGCATAGCAAGGTCTGGGATGGATTGGTGCTGTCAGGTGAAAACACGACAGCAAAGGTGATGATAAAGATGCCATCAGGCAGGCAAAGCATGCCCAACAGAGAGCATCTGACTGTTCTGAGTGGGCTGAACACCTCAGCTCTGAAGGAATGGCTTTCAGAACAATGGATGAAAACCGTGTCACAGGTATGACACAGAGAAATGATGGAGTGTGGTCAAAAATGTACCAGATTGCTTGTACTTGCAAGATGATCGGAGTGAGGGCCCTGGTTTGGGTGCCAGACCTTCCCTGAGCCCCGCTGCCCTATCTCCAAGCAGGTCTCATATTGATTTTGGCCAAGGCCCGGCAATATACACACACACACACACACACACACACACACAGAGCGCCTGCTGGTTCGGGGACCGCATCTGACGAGGCCACCACCCTTGGACACCTGAAGCTGCTTAGCCGGACGCGTGTGGCCAGGTGACTCCAGGGCCAGAGGATGCCCCCCGCTCGTTTACTTCACTAGCAGGCGTGCAGCCTAAACACCGAGAATCTTTGGGGCAGTACCAGGCCGTCAGCCGCAGCCCCGAGACGGGGACGGGGGCCACTTGCCGCCCCGAAGCGACCCTCGAACAAGGCCATACCCCCTCGTTTGCCAGGTGCAAGAGCACGGGGCGGGCCCCGCACTGCAGCACCACCAGCCCGGGGCTGGACGGCGGGCGGGCAGGGGCGGCACAGCCTGGCCGCATCCCCCCAGGAGAGGGCAGCAGCGCTCCCGCGTACAGCCCCGCCGAGGGGCGATGCGCGGGGGGCTGGAAAGGGCCCTCGGCGTGTCCCACACCGCCCCGACAGCATCTGCATCCCCGGGGAGCGGTGGAATAAACGTCCCAGAGCAGTCGCTCGCCCTCCCCATCGGGGCTCTCCCTCCCGTGGGCTTGCACGGGCACCGTGAGGGACCGGCTGCGGGGGCAGAGCTGCATCTTCATCTTCGAGGGTCAAGGGGGACGCGTTTTCCCACGTCCTGAGAGAGTTAAATATGCTCCTGAGAGAGAATGTGTTTTTCCTGCGACTGGAAAACGAATTTTGGGAAGGGGAGGGAAGGAAAAAAAGGGGGGGAGGGAAAGGAAAAAGGAAAATTTTAAAAAGAGGGGGAAGAAAAAATATAAGAAAAATTAAAATAAACATTAAAATAAAAGGTAAAAAAAAAATAAAATTAAAAAGCTTAAGAGTTTCAGATAAAATCTCTGAGGCATAACTGGAATATAGACATTTCTGGCATTAATAAACACATTGCTGCAGACGTCCAAGGAAGATGTCTTGTCATGAAGTACTTCTTTTTATCAATAATAAACAATAATCAAAGCAAAATTAGAAAGTCACTAACTTTTTCAGCTGTAGTTCAGAAACAGGGCCTGAAGAAGGCATGGGCCTCTTCTCTGATAAAAGATGAATTTTGTTACCAGGCAGAAAACAGCATTTACCCTAACTGACAACTCAGCCGTCAGGCAAACTTGGTTAGTTTTCTTTATATGAGTGGTGCCATTACCTTCTTTGCTCAGCCTCATCAAAGGGGTTGTACTCACGACTAAAGCAAGCAGGATTTGGCCTTGACCAGTAAAATCTCAGAAATAAATCTTAGAATAGCAGAAGTCTTGTGTGGTTATATAGTCCTAATTATTCCTGAAAACACATTCTAGAATTTCAATGCCTGCCCTGACTAAAGGAAAAAATGTGTAATGCTCAGCAGAAGGAAGAGTCTTACCTTAACAGTGTAGAAACAGAACACAGCAAATGAATATTGATTTCCTCTGCCATCTCATCGGATTTGTGGAGATGGCAGTACAAACCAGGGAAAATGAGCAGTTTAAAGCTGATTCTCCCCTCTGTCTCCCTGTTGCCTTTAGTGCTCTTTCTCCTGATTCATACCACTGTGAGCTGAGAACCAAACCCTTTTTCTCAAGTTTGCTTGTTGTCTTTCAAGGATGATGGCTTGGATAAAGTCATCCATTCAGGAGCCCAACCAAAGGGCTGGAAAAGGAGAGACAGACTGTAAATGTCAAGGCAGTGCCAGAAAATGAAGTGATAACCTGAATGTGAGGAATAAAGAAGAAAAGGAGTCAGGGATGTCTGGAAGGCTGGATGCTTGGGGAGTGGGATGGTCTTAGGAAGGGACTCTGGTGCAGACAGCACCTCAGTGGGCAGGAGAAAAGAGAAGGGGCTCTTCCTCACAAGCCAAAACTGCTGCCCAAGAGACAGACTGCTCATCATCTGCAATAGGGGCCAGCAGGAGCAGGGAGATGTGAAGGTTGTCCACGGAGAGGTGTCTCTAGGGTTGTGGAAATGGCAATAATTTTTTAATCTTGACTAATTTAATTGCAAAGACAGCAAAAGCTCAACATAAGCAAAGGATCAGCGTATTATGTCTTCCTTGCACAACCATCCCCTGCCTATGGAAAGCTTTTCTTCCCCACCTCCTGTGTGTCCCTATTAATTCAAAGGGCCAGTACTGGCGCCTTACTGTGCTGGTCATGGCTGATGTCAAAGCCTAACAGTGGGTTACCCAATTCAATGACTGTTTTCCAGACTCCACAGATCATCAGAAAGCAGTCCAGAAGACAGTTGCACACCAATAATTAATTAAGGACATGCACACATCCCCATCACACCCAAAAAAATGAACTTGTGAGGAAATAAATATGTTAAATAAGTTATCAACATGTTGACGCACTTCTGGTTAGTTGCAAATGAAAATCATCCTGGCAATACTGTACAACAGTCTGAGCCAATTCTTATTTTCAGAAGATTATGTGAGCTTTGTTTAAAAATGATTGAAAAACACTTGTCTAGCTGCACTATTTCTGACCAGCCTGAGACACTGTGCCTTTTAGCACTGTCCCATTGCAGCACTATTTTTCTATGTGCATAGTAAAGAATATGAAAACCTTTTCACTCGGGTCAAAAAGACAGAATTACATCTGCTCTAAACCAAAAAGAATGAGCAAAATAGCAAGTCAGGGGAAAAAAAAAAAAAAAAAAAAAAACAAAAAACAAAAACAGTTGATTTACAATCATTTCAGTCTTTAATTCAGAAGAACCCCAAGATTTATCAGCGGCTTTGCAATCAGATGCCAAATCCCGTTCTTCAGCCTCAAGCCCTTGGGAGCAATAATGCTGCATTGGCTACTTGGGAATCAAGGAAGGTCAGACACTTGAAATGTGAAGATAAACTCAGGAACATCATTCTCTGGATAAGCACAAGAAACTTTCTATCACCAACTAAAACTTCAGGAATTTTAGACTTACAGAAAATGGCTGTCAGTGCCTCATACAGAATGCCTTTTCAGAAACACTCTGCTAGTTCAGGTTTATTCAACAAGGAAGGACTAATAGCATCAAAGTTTTCCAAAAAGCTGTTGACTGGATTTACTGTGCCTGACTGGCCAACTCGACCAGGATCTGCAATGTGTTCATCTTGGTCAGTTATGTGTCAAATTGTGAAGCAGATGATTTGCTCATCTAATCCAAATAATCATGTTCTTATTTTGGAGATACATGAACATTCTCCTTGTCACAGTAAAGTTTAATCAGTTAGATGCCATCTACTACATCCAGCTCCTCCTTATGGCTAGCTGGTTCACTGGAGTGGGGGCTGAAGCTCCACCCAACATCCTCAAGGGATCAAAGGTTACTTTTCTGACCACCACTGTCCCCAGAGACCTGGACAGGACTCATCTGCATTTTTTCATAGCCACCCACTCCAACAGCTGTTGCAGCCTTTGGTGGATACTCAGGACACCTTCAGCCAGAAGGAGGTGCGTGGAGGAGTCCTGGATACTGCCCTGTCCCTGGGGCTAAGGTATCAGAAGGAACTAAAGTGACCTGTGATAGTGAGCCAGAAAGCCAGCAATCATTTTCCTGTTTTCAAACAGATATAGAGTGAACACTGAGACAGGCCATCCATCAGCTAGCCCTCTTCTCTGTTTAACACCATTTCACTTGTGAAAATGGAAAAAAACCTCGCATCTTCATACACAGGTTTTTATTTTCTGGAAGCGTATAACAGTGTAATAGCCTGAGAAATCATAGATAATGCCATATGATCTTTGCTTAGATCTTAAATGTTTGCATATAATACTCTCTATGCATCCAATGCACAGAGAAATGTTAATTCTATGCACCTGTCAGAATTTTTGCTGTGGAAAGGAAAAAAAAAAGTACATTATCTTTTTAGAATCATGACTAGAAAACAATTAATTGACAGCAGGCAATCATGCCAGTCTGAAAAGATCCAGCTTGAGATAAGTTTAGGGGATTTTTTCTGTTTGGGTATTTTTTTTCAGAATGCTGCACTTGAGCAATTGAATGATACCACATTTAAGGTCCTGGGTGGCATGCCATTTCCTTACTCATATGCATCTAATTAAGTCTTAATTGTGCCATTCGTTATGAAATGAAAGAAGAGCTGTTAGACTGGGTATCTTTCAAGACAGTAAAACAGGATGAGACTGATTGAAATAGTTAATGTATAGAAAAAGAACAAAAGTATGCAGTGAGGAAAAAAAGGACTTTTGAAGATAATGATGTTTAAAACACAGCAGAAACAATAAAAGCAGTATAATAGTGAGATTACCACAAATAACTTCTTGGTCAACACAAATAGTATGAAAGGTACATTCTAGCTC